TAAAGCTAATAAGACGAAAAAAATGCTGCTTGTCGCTTAACTCAGAAACCACCAAGTCCTCTATCCTGAAGAGATAAGTAAATAGCATGCTGGGGTTTTTTGTATCTATTCAAGTTGTATGTGTTATCCATTTATAGTTACATACAGTATAGTTTAATATATATTGCAGAATGTCTGCAATAATAAGTTAGTTCCTGTTGACACTTGGTACAGCAGCTATAAACAGTCGCTCCTTTAAGCAGCAGCCTCCCTTTTTTCTCTATCTGGAAGTGAAGACTAAAAAAAATCTCAACTTGTCATGTTAGGGAGAAACCGCAAAGCGCAGCGTCCTCCATCTTGAAGACATTTTCATCAACTGCTGTTTGGATTATATAGATCAGTTTCTCTCTGCCATCTTAGTTAGTGATGAAAAAATTATGATTTTGATTAAACCTTTTGGTTATGGTTATGGTTGGGTTTCACTAAATCCTGAGGGTCTTATTTAGAACAGTAAAAAAAAAAAAAAAGTAGCTGGCTGTGGTCAGGGAAAAACAGTGACTCTGAGTGTTTTATGGCTGACAGGAGTGTTTTTTTTTTTGTTTTTTTTTTTTTTTTTTTTTTTTTTTGGTGATTACAGTCTGTCTGCAACTGACATTGACACAAAGTACAAAGCTCTAAACTTTGGGAAAAGCATTTAAAAAAACAACAATTTTGTCATCCCCTTTTCTACCCTCTTTAAATAGATGTCTTTAAATCGCTTTCAGATTCATACACACTAAGTTGTAGCGGATATTTCAGCGTGTGCTTCACGTCAAAGTGACAAATTAAGCTGGGAGCAAAGGACACTTGTGTCTGTAACAGAGGCAGTTATGAAGAAACACCTTCAGAAATGGCAAAGTGAAAACTGCAGCGAGATCTGTGAACAAAAACCGGTATGATGAATAAGGAATCAGGCATGTATATGATTTAAGACATCACAGCTACTTGCCATTATAGACTCTCCTGGCAAATGTCAAGAGATATTAGAGCATAGAGCAGACTTGCGCCATAATAATCATCTGTTTGAGAGTGCACTTGGCATGTGTGGGAGTCGTTCTTACAGCGCACTATGTGAACAAAAACAGGTATGATGAATAATGAATCAAACGTGACATAGGAAATTAATCAGCGGCACGGTGGTGCGATGTTGACCAATGCAAAGCAGAGTAGCAAAGTTAATTATTTTCCAATAACAGCATGTTCTGAAGTGTTTTATTCCTCTTAAACCACAGAGATTTGCCAATGATTGCATCTTTCTTAAAAAAAAAGAAGCATCACTTACGTTATAGCAGCTACAATCAGTCATTCCTTCACCAGCTCCTTCTTTTTCTCTGAAGTGTATGAAGCTGAGCAGATTTAAAGTGCAGCTTAGACGTTATTGGAAACCATTCCTCATCACCTACTGCAGGCTGGACAATTAAGCCGCTGATAATACAACGTGCAGTCTTTATGAAACTATCAGGAAAATGGAGAAAAATGAATATTTGACTGCGTTTGCATTAATGATCACGCTCCAGCTGGCAAGGTCGACGCTGTGCTTATGGAAAACATGCATCACTCGAATTCTCACAGCATGCAATAACTATAGAGCAGAACTGCATACAGGTAAATGTATAAGAATAAGCCAGGAATTGAATATATAACACATCCAGGGGGGCATGATGGCTTAGTGGTTAGCACGATTGCCTCGCTCCAGCAGGGTTGGGGCTTTGATTCCAGCCTCTGGCCTGTGCCCTGCGTTGGGTTAGCACCTCATCAAGGGTGTCCATCGCCGTGTACCCCGAGTCCCCCCGGATAGGATCCAGGCTCCCCGCAACCCTGTGGAGGATAAGTGGTACAGAAAATGGATGGATGGATATATCCAGGGGTTATATCCAGGGTGAGGGGTGGAGCTCCAGCACCTATACTGCAATTTGAATAGTATAAATAAGGAATAATAAAAGATATGTGGACATGCTGTTATAGGAAAATAATCAATGATAGGGTGGTGTGATGAAGCATGATGCGTAGCAGAGTTACGTTACCACCCAAAAGTTGATTATTTTCATATAACAGCACACCCTGATGTGTTTATTCTTCTTATACCACATCAATTTGCCAATGATGACCTTTTTTTTTTTTTTTTACTAAAAAACAATGTCATACTTTTTTATGTGTTTATGATTATATTAAATGTTGTTGAAACATGTACATCATTAAACATCGGTTAATAAGACAAAAAAAATAGTCTAAAACATTTGTCCCACATTTAATACCATTAGTATGCTAATAGTATTTTCACTGTTAAGCTCTGAAATGCCTAAGGCATGTGGATGGGTCCAGACTTCCAGGGTGACAAATTAAAGGAAAAAAACAACCTAAAGTGTGTAACTAAGGTGTTTTGAGCCAGTACGAGCCGCCAGAACAATGCTCCTTGTCATAGATTCTACACATTTCTGTATGGAGCTTTACTGGCACGATGAATACCGTTTGATGATGGTGCTGGAGAGCGCTCTATCCAAAATCTCCAGTAGGTTTGATCTAGTGAGTGTGAAGGCCATAGCATATGATTTACATCAATTTCATCCTCATCAGACAATTCAGTAAGCTTCCAAGCAATATGGATGGGGGTGGGGTCATTCTGGAAGAGACCACGCCCATCAAGAGGGAAAAGTTTCATCATAAGATAAAGGTGATCAGTGACAGGAGTGTCCTCTAAGAAGACAAGTGGAGCCAACCCATGAGAGCAAAAATAAACGCACCCCCACCTTATATATGATTTTAATTAATACTTAGTTCATAATGAATGAACGATTCTTTATGATTACTAACTGATTAATTACCCAGAAGTCATTACTAGTTAATAGTAGTGACTTCCACAGTTTTCTGACTTCCACAATTGTTATGCTCTTAAAAAAAATGCTGTTACAAAAATAACTGAAATGATGAAACGATGGTGGGAAGGTTTTATACATGCAGCCGAGCAGACTGACTGAGCCGAACTGTATCTCTGATGTGCTAATTTCATCCATGAACAGCAAACTGAGTGTTTGATGACTGCTGCTTTGATTTAGTCCAGGTTGCTGTAGGTTTTGTTCTAATCTCCTTGTGTAGAACTTCATCCTGACGCAAGCTTAAACTTCGGATGCGCAAACATTATCATATAATTCCGAGTGCTCTAGGATAGCAGGCAATTTGTTTCCTCGACTCTGCTGATGTTTTTTGAAAGCTACTTGCTAATAAGTCAGTGCGCTGAGCCACAAAATAAGGCCCAAATGAATGATAATTATCTTGCAGAGTGGAGGAAACAATACGAGCCTAAATGATCTGCATTATGCAGCAGCTTTGTTTCTGCACTCTGTTGCACTGCTTCATAGCTGGAGCGTGCTGCCATTCACAGAGCCAAACAGGCGACACAATGAAGATGCTAAGGTCAGTAGGTGGATGCCCATGGCCTGTTCATGGCCTGCTCTGAATTTTAATAGAGTTTGTTTTTTAAAGCCTATTTGAATCTACTTTGCTTGTGATTTAGTGTCGGTTTGAAAAAACAAAGCTATGCCAAAGCCATTTTCCACAATACACCGAGATTCATATGCATAAAACATTTGCATATAAATAAATAAGAAAGTTTCGAGAGTCATGCACACTGTAGATTGCATGTTATACAACCACTTTCATTTCCCAAAGGTATAGTTTGTGTTTATCTGAGCGTTGAATTTTCCGAAAGAGCACCGGCATTTAGGCGCCTATGAGGTGTGGTGTACGCTCTGGCAGAAGCGAGTGCCACTTGATGGGGCTCAAGACTCTACAGCAGATGTGACCTTTAGGCCCTGGATTCAGCCATTTCCCTCACTTTGTGGAAAAGGTCACGCAGACTTTGATGTGAACTAATATATTAGGCCATTAAAAATGAAATAGGCCCTGAAATCACTTCCTCACCTAGAGAGCATATTGCGAAAAAAGCCTTTGAGAGACGCAGCAGTGGATTTTAGTTAGTTATTAATAAGAACAAAGGACAGCTGATCTCTTATTAATGCATATAGTAAGGTCTAAACATCTGAGTCTGAGAATTTAGCAAGAACTCATTTATTCCATCAGCTAAAACCCACACTAATGAAATCTGTATTTAAATATTTTACACATGACCGTCTTTTTTTAATTAAATAAATAAGTGCATTAATAGATAATAAACTTGTATATCTGTATTATGTATATAACCTAAATTAGCATAAATCCAATAACAGAGTAACACTGCTGTGCATTCTTTACACTTTACGTTCCCTTAAAGAAGGAAAAAATAACACTTTGGAGGTGTGCTGTCATAGGAAAACAATCAATGATGTGGCCTGACGCACATCCAGAAGCATTTTATTCCTCTCATACTACAGCAATTTGCCAAAATTACAAAAATGTATTAATGAACAACAAGTAATTTTTATCCATTTATAGTTACGTTTAATGGGATGGAACATCCGTGAATCATGTTAGTTCCTATCATGACTTACGTTATAGCAGCTATAAGCTGTTGTTCCATCACCAGCCTCTTTTTTTCTCTCTTAAAGTTAATAAGAGAATAAACGCAGCTTGTCATATTAAGGAGAAACCATTCAGTGAAAGGTCATCTGTAATGATTAACCTCCTGTGTCAGAAAATGTAGTTATGGCTTTAGCTCTGACTTTTACAAAGCACCGACACTGGAGACTCCTTTCATAAACGTTAAATATCACGGAAAACTGCATCATATCTACAATTACCCTTTTTTTTGTTAATCCTTTTATGTGGAGCATCAGCCAATGAATTCCCTGTGTGCCTGGTTACTATAGAAACAATAACATGTTGTTGTTGTTGTTGTTCCTCTTTCGGGTGCTCCCGTTAGGGGTCGCCACAGTGGATCATTGGTCCTCATATTTGATTTGGCACAGTTTTTACGCTGGATGCCCTTCCTGACGCAACCCTCCCCAATTTTATCAGGGCTTGGGACCGGCACTGATAGCGCACTGTTGCACGCTGGCTGGGAATCGAACCCGCGCCGCAGCGGTGAGCGCGCTGTGGCCTAACCACTAGTCTTCCAGAGACCCAGAAACAATAACATATTACAAAGCATTAATCTAAAACTGTAATTTTGCCAGTGTGTGCAAACTTCTGACTAATGCTGTGTGTCCCTTTTTCAAATACATGAGAAACATGAGCTACATTAACTACTAATGAATTCTGGGTAATTACTCAGTGAGTAATAATAAAGTTTGGTAGTTCATTATGAACTAAGCATTAACTAAAGTCTTTACAGAAATATATAAATTCAGAATATAAATTTTAAATGTATAAATTTATACCTAATGAGCAAGCCAGAGGTGATGGTTGCAAGGAAAAACTCCCTGAGATGATATGAGGAAGAAACCTTGAGAGGAACCAGACTCAAAAGAGAACCCATCCTCATCCGGGTGACAACAGATAGTGCAATTATAAATAATTTCCCTCTATAATTGTGTGCTATATAGTCAAAAAGTGCAATTGTGTAACCAGGAAATTCATTATAGTTTTCTCATGAACAGTTCACTGATGGAGACTTGAGTGTAAAACTGTTCGTGGGAATTGCAGTCCTAAAGCTATCATAGCATTTGTAGTCCTAAGCCATCATAGCAAAACTGTTCATATCAATTGGAGTCCAAAGCCATCTTCATGGCTTTCAAGTGGTACCATCCACAGTAATCTCATGTATCTCATTTCCTCTTAGCGGAAAACGTCACTGCAAATCAGTCCTCTCACTGATCACCTTTATCTTATGATGATCAAATTTCGAGAGACGGTAGTTATAAAGAAGCAGGTCATACCTACAATATAAGGTACAGTTATGAGAACACTAAGTTTTGCACTTGTTATAAGGTAACAGATGGCTGTGGCATCATTGGGATTCAAACTTCCTTTTTTATTGTGCCACGCAGGACACAAAGACACTACTTCGACTTTATTGTCATTGTCAGAGTACGAGTACAGAGATAATGAAATGCAGTTAGCATCCAACCAGTAGTGCAAATAGCAAATAACTTAAATGAGGTAATAAGGTTATGATAAATAAGTTAAGATAACAGTGTACAGGTAAAGGTAAACAGTATGATGCATACCAGTAATGCAAATGGCAATTAAGTGAAATGAAATAAATAGAATTATAGTGCAGTAAGCTGTTACAGTAAACAGGTTGAGGAAAATAGCATGATGTATGCAATGTGATGCAGAAGATACATACAGATGTGCAAATAGCAATATTGTGCAAATAACAGTCAGATCTAAATAATTGTGCTAATGACAGATAATTGCAGTAAAGTGCAAGTACTTGCAAATAATTGCAGATAACAGATAATGCATTATGTATTTTATCATTTATAAATGGTAATGGATTGTAATTGAATCTGTGAATATTTGTAATGTATATAAAAACTGAAATGCCTCCTGAATGCATTATAACTATATAACTTTTTTTTCCGACTGGTAATTATCATCCGAGTCACATATTGTAGTCATTGATAAGATAAAAACTTTGAAGTTTTCATCTAACTAACTAAAAAAGGAGGGTGTGTGGCAAAGCTGAAAGGGCGCGAGACTCATAATATTTTATAATCCCTCATAAATTTAGGGCTCAAAGCAAATACCGCTGTCCAGGCACGAAATTCACTGCTTTGTCCTTGTTTTCCAAAAACATAATATTTATGGTGTATAGAGTTATTATGCACTGTGCAGCCATGTCCTGATGATAAACTAGTTATTCCATGTTGTAAAATCCAATCAGAAAGACACAAAAGGATGTGTTCTGTGTCTCTTAGAATAGATGATGTACAGTTTGATCATTTATTTTCAGTGACAAAAAAGAAACTCGTCATATCACAGTACTTATCAGGTTACATTACAAGCTATCTAAAATGTAAGAAGCTTAAAAAAAAAAAAAAGCAGCAGAGACTAATGTGAATACAACCTCAGGACACGGTTTGCTGTTCAAACGACTGATAATAATGAATTACTTTATCTAAGCGCTCGTTTATTACAGCTGCAGCACACATGAGCACTTTGCGCTTGCAGATGAGGGCGACTCATTCATCGTCAGGTATTAATTTGCTTCCATTCGGATGCTCCCAAGAATCATCATAAACAATAGATTCTGTGCCGACACAAAAACAAGGAAGTAGCGAACGTTGCCTGAAGTGTCACGCTGACATTGAGCTATGCAGGAATCTATAGAGTGTGTCAGGTGATTAAGTGCTTTATTGTAACAAAATCAAAGACTGAACACCAAGCTTAAATGATGCACAAACCAAAACATGACCTTGACCATTATTTTTTTCTTTTTAATAATTCTCCAGGGGTGCGGTCCAAGCAATGCTAATCTTCCATCCCAACCAAACACATGCCCTTTTGACATTTTTGATGGTCAACACAGCCCAATTAGGCACTTGATTAAAGCGAGCATGGAAAATAAGGAATAAACTTTTTTTTTTTTGCCAGCGAGGAGCGTTATTCTTGTGCAGAAACCCTTAATGAGACACCTTTCTTTGCATACCCATGAGCATTAATTGGTCCAGAGACTGAATAAGCACCTGTTGGTCCTGGAAAGGGTCACGCCAAGGTCGTGGAAATTGGGAGTCCAGTCCTGCGAGCGCTCACTCAGTCGGACACCTGGTGCACAGGAGGTCTCGTCTGGCAGTGTGGTTCTGACCCGAGTGTGGAGCGAAGTCGCATCTAAATCTTCAACGTGCCTTCTATAGCTTCTACGGATTCCATTAATAATACATATCACATAGAAATACGTGATGCGTAACCTATTCTATGCCTTTATACCACGTCGCTGTTGAATTCTTGATCCTGATTGGCCAGAAGGTGTTGCAGTTTTTCTTTGAGGAAGTGTTTATTTAGTATTTACAAAGAATGTTGTTTTCTATTGGCTCACAAGACTGAGGTTCATGATTTCACAGCTGAAACCTAGATAAAGTCTGCGTAAAGTGAAAGCAAATGCATGTCTTTTACATCCTTTTTCCATCAAATGAATTTTATTTTCATGTTTGGTTTGACTTCTGCTTTAGCTGAATAGGCAGACAAGCATCATTTTCAGCTGTCTCCCCTAGTATCGGCATAATAAGGTGACAAAAGTCGTAAAAATGCTACGACTAAACCGTAAATGTCTTTTCAGCTTTTACTGAAGGAGTCTCCAGTGTCAGAGATTTGTATAAAGTTTTCCAACATGGGAAAGCCTTCAGGACAGAGTAGTTTGTGCTTTCTGGTTTCTTGATAATATGACAAACCATTTTTTTTTTTATTAATAATTCCAAGAGAGGAGGGCATGGTGGCTTCGTGGTTAGCATGTTTGCCTCGCACCTCCTTGGTTGGGGGTTTGAATCCCACCTCCACCCTGAGTTTGCATGTTCTCCCCATACTCCAGTTTCCTCCGCCAGTCCAAAGCCCCCAGTCTCCTGGGATAGGCTCCAGGCTACCCCATGACCCTGTGTAGGATAAGCGGTATGGAAAATGGATGGATGGATAGAATTCCGAGAGAGACAAAACAAGAGAGGCTGGTAAGGGAAAGACTGTTTACAACTGTTATAGCCTAAGTGATAACAGGAACTAACTTGTTTTGTGCTGTTCTGCAACATTAACTGTAACTATAAATGGATACAAAATACAATGTTTCGTTCTTTCACAAATAAAAATAGGTAGGTTTGATAAACTGATGTAGCATAAGAGGAATAAAACACTGTGCATGCTGTTATAGGAAAATAATCTTTGCAAAAGTTGATTATTTTCCTAATGTGTTCTCCCCGAAGTGTTTTATTTCTTACGTATCCTCCATGTTTTGTTTGTTGAAGCCACAAGGAAGATGTTTGTGCAAATGAACGTAATTTTTCTTTTTTTTTCCTTTCTTTTTTTCCAAAGTACATACTAAGTTTGTCAAAAATATCTGCTCCATCTTTTGCTTTGAAATGAAACCCACTCATGGGTGTTTCTCCAAATTGAGTGCTCAAGCCACAAGGCTTGGCCCAACACTCCCCCTCCAAAAAAAAAAAAAAAATTACTTTTGCACATTTAGCTATCGATTTTCAAGCGTGTTGAATAATTAATTGTGGAGCACATCAACCCGAAACTGTTCAGAAGGATATAATGCACACACAGCAATCCATAGTTATTACACTACTCGCACAGTAATAGATACGTTTTGATGAAATGTAATTAAAATACTGGTTATTTTAATTAAAATAATTAGTGTAGTGTGAGAGAGGCGGAGAGTGCAGAATCATTAAAACCTCTCATGTTAGCAGATTTTAATTGGGGAACTGTGGATATTGCCGATTCTTTGCTTCACAGTTGAATACTTTTTTTTTTTTTTCAGTTCAGATCCAGACTTCATTCCTGCCCTCTTTATTGTGTGCACAGAATTAGAGTCTTTCAGCTGCGAGTGTGTGAATGGTGCCCTGGCGTGAAACAGACGGCGAGGTCCGGACCCTGAACGCAAGCGCTGCAGCAGGAGATTTTGGCTGGAATTTGTTGTAAATTGCTTTGGGGTCCTGGATAAGACAAAGCACAGCACACACATACACACACACACACACATTTTTTTTCTAAAATGCCACTGTGATGGCAGAAAACCTTGAAACCTGAACGTTCGAATCGAACCCTGGTGTATTTTCCACCTCAGTGTGGTTCTTTAGGCAGGTGAGAATACAGTAATCACACCCCGGTGTGGACCGGGTCTGAACGACGTGCTCATGGTCCACTTCCAAGTGAACTCAGTTGCAGTGAGAAAGCGATTTGACTCTGAATCAACTCAGGAAGTGAATCAAACACGCTGCGTTCTTTGGGTTGTAGAAATGTAATGCGTTCTGGAGATTTGAACCAATGAACAAAAAGAGAAAATAAATGTTTTTAAAAGACAAAACATTTCAAACTGGTTATTTCTATAATTATCAAATCGTTTATTTAGTGCCAGCTCCATGGTTTCTGTGCTCGGGTGATTTTTTTTTTGTGTGTGTGTGATTTCTATACCCACTTGGTAAAGCTTTGTTTAACTTTTTCCATCACTGTATTCCTGACCAAT